TTTTGGTAAAATTTAACCATGGTTTTGAGAACTTTTACTAGTAACGTATTTTAATTTATGCATAAAATCCCGTTGTATCACTGAGATTATATGATAAATGATCGACATACACTCTACCCTTAAATCATATAAAAATTTTATATATACAAGCCCACTTCAGATTTTGTACTATATTGTTTATCTATTTGTTTTGCACCAATTCTAAATATAGAAATAGTGCTAATCTTATCTGGATTAGCAATTAAATATATTCAAGATCACATTAATAATAATGATTTCAATAAAAATAATATTCAAGTCTCTTATAAAATTAATGGCCGTGGACAAGCAATAGCTTTAGATAATAAAGATAACTATAATACATTATTAGTGAATATCAAAAATTAGAAAAATCAAGTAAATCTATAGTATTAAATATTGTACCAAAATCAAATAATAAAAAAAATAATAAAAAAAGAAAAAATAAGGTACATACGTACATTTATAATTAGTTATAATATAATTATGTATATAGTTTTAACAGTATATATATATATTTATAGAATTCAATTGAATCCAGTAGTTCGGATGAAGATACACCAAAGTTAAAAACTAAAAATTCAAATCGAATCTTGTAACCAAAGAATCTAAACTTACTACTTATGAAATCGAACTAGCTGATATTATTATGCAAATTAGATCCAAATATCAATACAATATGCATAGTATGCCTTGTTATATTAAAGATGATAAACACCTTGTATTAAACCCTGCATGATTACACTTGTGAGCACGAGATATAGTAAATATTAAGAGAATTACGTAACATTTTTTGTATCTATTTTTGGTATGTTTATATCTATTTTTTGTATATATCGATATGAAATATAAAATATAATAAATATCTTTATTTGTAGAAAAATAAACTTATCACTATCGAAACACTATTTTTGTACCCAATATTTAGTATAATTAATGCTTGTAAAGCTAATACCCAAATATCACAATTGAAATTGTCACCTGTAGTTTCAGGTTTGATTTCAAGTCTTTAGGAATTTTTTGAAGAGTTAGACAAAAATCATAATAGAAATGGTGGTTATTTAGATTTATTAGCAGAATTTAAATGGGAAGAAATAACTGTAAATACCATTAAGGACTTGAGTGATTCAGAATTAATTCAATTAGGTATTACCAAAATTGGGTAGCAAAAGAATATCAGACAGGCAGAAAACAAATATTAATATAATGAAGGTCTGAGTATTGTAGTATATACGTATATATATATTTGACAGGTTTAGAAGCTTAAAATATTTTTTTTTATCATCATATAGTAAGTCGAATATTATATTATTAATAAATCTTGTGAATAAATATACTTTTCATAAAAATTTATAAGTAATAGTTATAGTTATATCCTGAACAGTTGGATTAAGTAATATTTTGTGTAGTAAGTATAATCATAATTTATTCTCTGCTATCTATACATAGATGGGGTTGGTGAGGAAATAAAATAAAATTCATAAACTCATAGCCATTACTAGAAGAATATAAGTTTAAAAGAACTTTCATATTGTCACAATTTTCTTAAGAAAATCGTAACTTGTAGTAATGAGAATGTGTATACTGTAGGGCTAGATTGTAGCAAAAGCTTAGAAGTTTAGATCTATACAAATAATTATGTTATTCGTCATCTTTGTTTATTTTTATATCTATAGATTCTTTTTATTTGTTTGTTATTGTGAGACATGGGGATTAGGTCTGGAAAAGCTTAGAAGTATAATTGAAAAATCGGCTTAGAAAGTATAGATCTGGGTTGGATAAGATGATAATGTTAGAACAACTAAGTATAGATCCAGACTTAAAAATAGAAAGTATATTTTGTCTTTGTAGTAAGCATTTCAAAAATATAAAAGAGCTGTCTCTATGCTTTTCGAATAAAGCTTTAAACTTCAATATCTTTAATATAGGAGTATTAAGAATTGATTTCTCAAATGTTGTTATACGTTATTGTCAATTTGTTGTATTTATTGTTATTTTCTTATCTTAACTGTGAAGGTTCTTCACGATTGTATTATACATTTTTAATATTACTCTTTGTTCTACTAAGTATATTATATATGCTATCCATCTTGAGGACATCGATATCCGTAAAAACACAATTAATTACTTGATTAATTATCAGTAGATATAATTAAATGCCTGATCTTGGATCAATTATGTCATCACACGTGCACAAGTTGTACAATCGATTATACTTACTTATTTAATACCCTTGTTCTAATATAAAAAATATATAAGTTCACTATTGGAGCTAAATTGTGCCAATATTGTAAAAGCTCTCCTGAACAATAGTAAAATATACATATCATAGAATATTATTTCTTTTATATACATACCATAAAATATTATTATTTCTTTCTTTTTTATACCTATATTAACTACTAATTATATTATTTAATTTCCTAATACACAATCACGATTGATGATTATGATCGTATTACATGAGCATGACAAGTATTGATTTTTTCCTTTATGTATTACCTAATTCCAAATTGAAGTATTACTAATATAATATATTTCTTTATTTATCTAAGTCACGATCGACTATAGGAAGACTTTCGTATGATTAGCTGTTTAAATCAATTTAATTTTATATTATTTATACAATTTAAAGTATTTTTTAAAACAAATAAACCTACAAGGAATAAACAAAAAAGAAGCATATAAAAAGTTTTATTTGGGTTGTAGGACTTCAGTATTAAAAATAATCAAAATTGTATACCAATTCGTATTTTTTAAAAAAAGAAAAAAAAATAATCAAAATCATTTCTGGTTTTAGAGAAGTTAGTATAGTAATAATCTAATTCTATCTATTTTTAAAAAGTCACTATTATACTAACTTTTCTAAAACTAATACTGGAGTCCTACAACCCTAATAAAACTTTCTA